GCCATTAAGCCCCATTTTAAATATGTTGGGAATGAAATAAAATGCTTTTAATATTTTTTCCAAAGAACTATAAATATCTATTGCAATGTTCTGGTGAAACATCAAGTTTTTCGATCAGACTATAAATATTGATTTTACAAATACATTATTAAGCTTATGAACAAACTTAAGGTTTTTTGTAAGCTCCGTAACAACCGTTCGCCAGAGGCTTTTTTTATGTGAACTCTTACATACTTCTTTAGAAAAGAGCAAACATGAATTTTATAATGTTAAAATAATGGTATCAGAGAAATGTAAGATGCTTGTTACCTGAATAAAGTAGAGATAAATGTGAAATTATTTGTCATAAAAGTAGTCAAAACATGTAGTATTTGACTTCCATATAAAATACTAATTCAACTATCACTGTACTTATCATTGCCAAAAAGCAACAGATGAAAAAGATGGTTCAGGTAATTGGCCAATGTGTATTTTTTGGATAATATAGAAGAACATCAAAAAAAAAAAAGCTTTTAAGAAAAACAAATAAAAGCATAATGGGCCTTTAAAACATTATTTTTTTAACACTCGGGGGATCGATACCCCACAATCCCTCTATACCTCCAGTGAGAATTTTACATTATTCTGAAGCTCCGCTCTTAATGTGCGACTACTTAAATACATGAAGTTGATATTTTTAGTACTGCCTGTACGGACTACTACTTAAAGCCGCATCTACACCTAGTCAAGTTTCTTATATTTCACATTTAGCTAAATAAATGGCTATTTCAACATATTATCAGTCACATTTTTTTACTGAATTGTCTTACTTAGATCACCCAGAATTTATACCTTTGTCTATATTTCTATAAAATGTGTAAATAAAAAACTGGAAAATAATGCATTTAGCTAAAAAAAATGGAGTTAATGAAAGGTGTACATTCTTTTAAAATAAAAGGAAAATTTGAGAAAAAAAAATATTTTAAGCTTTTAAGTTAATAATTGATACAAATTCTTTATTAAGTGATTTATTTGGTGAAAGTTCTTCACTTACTAATCAAGAAAATTTAAATCCCTATTGATTCTACTATAATACAGAGCACATGTTTTGCGTCTATTTAATACCTTGAGTTTTTGTTTACCATTGGCTTTGACTACAATATATTATTTAAAACATACTGAACATTAATTTTCTATGACCCCAAAGTGCGGTCGTTTGCCTGATGTTAAAAAATGCATATGTACCTGTTTAACGCATTTTGGGGTCGAAATTGGACCCCAAAGTGCGTAACGCACTCTGGGGTCGGACCACAAAGTACGTAACGCACTTTGGGGTCGAACCCCAAAGTGCGTTTGACCCCAAAGTGCGGTGTTACAGAGCTATATCCATTGCAATTCAGGCCAGGCGCCGAAGAATAAAGCTAAAGAACAAAAGTAAAGATTAAATTCTTATTTGTTTAATATAGCTGTTATCATCCAACAGACTTCGATAAGTTCGATAAAGAAAATCTTTAGTACTGACCATTACTATTTGAAGCCTTTGAAACGTTTATACACATGTATAAAGAAACAGATACTGCAATAATCAACAGTCCAATTAAAATTGAATTAACGAGGGTACACCAATAACAAAAGTGGTGTACACTTCTTGGCTGAAGATGTAGTTTTATCTGCAAGCTCTCCTGTACCATGTTGAAGAGTATCGTAAATTCTGCCTTGCTCAGTCCTATTATCTCCCGACGCAAGCTCAGTATAAATTTTTTTTGCTGTGTCTGAATCCTCGTAATGATTGTTTAACTCCATAACTACATCCAAGCCGGTTTTTATTAAAATTAAATCAAATCAAATTTATTCAATCATTACTCCATACAGGATACATTTAAAATGTCATGAAAGCATACTTAGGTTTGCGTCCGTTTTAACTTCCTAGTGAAAGTTCATGAATAATAAGGACTTGGTTATGAATTTAAGGCAACTGAGATAGAGTTATTGAAGTATACAGTTCTACCTCTGATTTTGGGAAAAAGAAACATGTTGGTTTTTTTGTTGTTGATGTTGTTGTTTTTAAGATTCTTTTTTTCTAAAACTCAAGCTTGTTGCATTAGTTTGTAAAAACGTCAATATGTTAACTAAAAATAAAACAAAGGAGTGGAGATATATTTCTCTGACTTTCATTTAAGAAAAGTACTGTATACATTTATATTTTTATTTTTATGTTTTTATATTTTACATTCGGTTATTAACTGTAATTTAAAGATGACATAAATATCCAACTGAAATATCATGCAATAAGTATATTTTATATCATATCAACTATAAGTTATCCATCAACTATAAGTGGTTCATCAAAAAGGTCCGTCAACTATAAGTGGTCCATAAACTATATATTGTCCATCAACTATAAGTGGTCCATCAACTATAAATGGTCCATTAACTATTAATGGTCAATCATTTATAAGTGGTCCATCAACTATAAGTGATTCATCAACTATTAGTGGTCCATCAACTATAAGTGGTCCATCAACTATAAGTGGTCCATCAACTATATATGGTTCATCAACTATAAATGGTATATCAAAGATAAGTGATCCATCAACTATAAATGCTCCATCAAATGGTTCATCTACTATAAGTGGTCCATCAACTTTAAGTAGTTCATCATTTATAAGTGGTCCATCAACTATAAATGGTTAATCAACTATAAATGGTCCATCAACTATAAATGGTTCATCGACTATAATAGCATCAACTGTTAGTGGTTCATCAACTATAAATGGTCCATCAACTATAAATGGTTCATCAACTATAAATAGTTCATCAACTATCAATGGTCCATCAACTATAAATGGTTCATCAACTATAAATCGTCCATCAACTATAAGTGGTCCAGCAACTATAAATGGTTCATCAACTATAAATGATCCATCAACTATAAATGGTTCATCAACTATAAATGGTCCATCAACTATAAATGGTCCATCAACTATAAATGGTCCATCAACTATTAATGGTCAATAAACTATAAATGGTTCATCAACTATAAGTGGTTCATCAACTATAAATGGTTCATCAACTATAAATTTTCAGTCAACTATAAATGGTTCATCAACTATAAGTGTTCCATCAACTATAACTTGTCAGTCAACTATAAATGGTCAATAAACTATAAATGGTCCATCAACTATAAATGGTTCATCAACTATAAATGGTCCATCAACTATAAATGGTCAATAAACTATAAGTGGTCCAGCAGCTATGAATTGTCCATCAACTATTAGTTGTCCATATACTATAAGTTGTCCGTTAACTATCAGTTGTCCATCAGCTTTAAGTTGTCCATCAACTATAAGTTGTCCATCAATTATAAGTTGTCCATCAACTATAAGTTGTCGAACAATTATATGTGGATTTTGAGAAGCTTCGCATGGTATACCATTACTAGCAAATACAATGAAATGAAAATTCTGTAATGAAAAAGGTCAATAAAACAGATCTACTGCATATTCTATTTATTGTATGCTATAAACAGTTTAGAAGCAGAAAATATAAGATGTATTTATGTATTTGAAATTTTATTATTTGTTTATCTTCTGTCACCATATATAACGCAACTCATACATTTATTTTATTGAAATAACGGGTCAATTAGAATTTTTTTTTGCAGATACGAATATTATTACTTTAATATTATTAATCATCACAGCCAGATAGATTTACATGAAAAAGCTTTTTTAAAATGACCATATCCGGTAGGTGCGGTCATATCCGCGGATATGAGTCATATCTGGCATTACGTCATACCGTAAACAATCCAAACCACATCAAAAAATTTTATTATTCTTGTAGCATGTATGTCTCAGGAATTTCGTTTCCACCGGGATTCAAATTAAAGTAAATGTAACTTTCAACTAGAGTCTCATTTGTCTTACTTTCAGAAATTGAAATATACGAAGGGCGTTCAATATATTCGTAGACTTATGTCCTCATTTCAGAAATAATTTTAAATTAAAATGGTATCAATTGAGAGCGTTGTTACTTCAAAATTGAAAATTACCCAACTTTAAGACTGACAGCCATTTTAATAACCACGGTAACAGAGATGTATTAGATGTACGGACGCTACTTTGAGAAGTTATGAGCGATGCACGATACGTCAGAAATCGAAGTAACGTCCAGTGTCGTCGCTGACATCGGTAAACACCATCGTGACCTGGGATGCTGACATTGCCTTATGCGCCTTTTGTCATACGCGGTTGAAATTTCATGTTCAAGCGTATAATTAATTGCCGTTTCCGGTCATGTGATTTTTATGAATTATGTTTGCCTAACAAAAAAATAAAAAACACAGTCTACGAATATAATGAACGTCCCTCGTAATGCAATAATTTGTTCTCTACATATCGTTATTCTATGTATAAGTAATCAGTTTTAACTGGCACATGCATTTAACATATATTTTGTTGGTTTATAAAATAACAATCATCAACATGGTAAAAGTCTATCTAGCTTTAATGGTAGATTGATACCTCAGGTGCACCTTCATGTCTTATTTTAGGAACAAGCCAGTACCACAGTAAAACCCAATTACATCTTCGCTACCTAGATAATTTCCTGGTTTCAAAGAATTCAAAATCTCTAACAGGATTTTGCAAAAAACTGCAGTATTTGGTAATCTCGTGATGTTGTGTTTTGTTTTGTTGTTGTTGTTTTTTTTGTTGTTTATTTGTTTTTTGTTGTGTTTTTTTTGTTAAATACAATGTAGTGTCAAATTTGTTTTCAATCAATATCTTATGTTAAATCGGTTAAAATGCCAAAATATTTAAATTCAACTGTTAATGCACTACTTGAGAAAATGTTTTGTGACAGTTAAGATGTGCGTACATTTATGCGATTTTTACTTCATACGACCTTTTAGTCTTCCCAGACGGCTGTGGATCTGGACCATCACTTACAGGAAACCAGATCTGGCCATTAAAACCGAATTGTTACTTTACCTGTCTGATGCATAAAGTCACGGACCAAAAATTTATTGTTCTCTAAATGTACTAAGAAAATATGGGAAGTTAATTAAAACGGAAGTTAAATAATTGTTAAACGATATACAATGTAAATTTACTTTTAATCAAGTAGTCCGTAATTTGCTAGTAACGGAAATTAAACAGCTCGATCCTGAAGAGAAACGTCAATTGAGACACTGTGACTTTTTGCTTTGCTAACTACCAAAAGTGGATAGTCGCATTGATCTGGCTTAAATACTTTTATTTTGTTATTCGTGTAATATTATATCCATATTTTAAATTAAGAATTAAAATAGATTTTTTAAACATTAAAATAGATTTTTTTTTATTTTTTGTATATTGTTACAATATAACAAAAAATTTTATATTATTTCTTTAGTATATGGATATTATATTACATGAATAACAAAATTTAACATATTTTAAGGTCAAATAAATGCAGACTACCACCTTTGTTACTACGTGATACATACTTAAAATCCATTCAATTAGAAAATCGTATTTACTTAAGTTCAAGAGCGCACCCAATAGTTGGCGTATCGAAGTCAATAATGGGCTCAAGGTAATTGATTTGATTGGTGTCCATCAGTGGTCGTCCGTTGTTAGCATTTTCCTTGTCAACGTGAGATTTTTATTCCTTTGCTAAGAAGGATTTATTTATAAAGGCATGATCCTTGTATAAACCTCTACAATAAATACATAAATGGTTCCGGTACGACAAGAGCTAATTATAGAAAGAAAACTTTATATGATTTATCCTTAATCGCTAAATAGATTTTGGTGAAAGTGAACAGGAATTATGATTTTTTAGTGGTAACTGCTTTAATTGTCCTGGTCTACTGAACAAAATGGCTACCAGAGCTGAAAGTCTTATTTTTAAGGGGGAAAAAATGAAACATTTTGGGGAAAAAAGGTAAATGGTCTATGGCGCTCTTCAGAGGGTGCACTGTACTTACTTTTAATTTCTAACAGGGAAGGTAACACATCTCTGTAATTTATCTTTAAAACCATTATATCCTTCTGCAGAACATTATATATTTAAATATAATTTCAATGTGTTATGCATTTAAGCTGAAATTCTCAAAGCTTTAATATTTAACATCTATCCTTGCTAAAGTCAGCGGGCGGGCGGGCGAGCGAGCGGAAAGGCGAACGGGCAGGTGGGCGAACAGTTCCCGCTCAATAACTTGAGTTTGCTTAGGCCTATTGACGCCAAACTTTATATATTGGAAGCTGATATCAAGAGGCGGCTTGGGTTTGCTTCCTAGATATCTATGATCAAGGTTAAGGTCTTTAATGCTAAAGATAGAAATTCAGTTTCGACGTAATTTCTTCAGTTTGCTTTGGCCTATTGACAACAAACTAGATGTGTGGGTAGCTTATATCAAGACGCTACTCCTGATTGCTACCCAGGTCTGTGATCAAGATCAGTGCCAATGTTGCTAAAATAGAAATTCAGTCTCATAAGTATTAAGTAGTAGCTTATATCAAGACGCCACTTTGGATTGCTACCCAAGTGTCTGTTAACAAGGTCAAGGTCACTGTTGCTGAAAAAGAAATTTAGTATTCTCATAATAACTCGAGTTTGCTTTTACCTATTGACAACACACTTTCTGTGTGGGTAGCTTATATTAAGATGCAGCTTGAGATTGCTACTTTGGGAGCAAGGTCAATGTCACTTTGGTATAATAGAACTATCAGCTTCTGCGCAATAACTTTAATACACGTTGACCTTTTGATAATAGGTGGTTGAAAACCTGGTTTCATCGCATTGCTGCGGTTCTTGTGTCTTAAATTATTTTCTCCTCTATATAATTTCAGGCCGAGAGTATAGTTTTTTTAGATGCTTTTGTGGTCGTCTATACAAGTTTTATAAATCATGCCCAAGGAGTCAAATTTATCCTTCCCTGAGGGTAACTTAGTCTATTATATATGTAGGAAAACTGGTCTGTTTGTGTGAAACTGTTATGTCAAGATCAAAGGACCTAAGGTATCTTACAAAAGGTGAATTAATTAAAACATAGAAATGATCATACCTATAAAAATACATAAATATATAAAAGTAAACCAAATGACTATCATAGAAGCACTTAGTGTCTAAAATGAAGACAAAACAGCGAGAATATCTCATACAAAGGCCCGCCTAAGCATGCAACATGTAATAACCTCTTTTAGTTATTCTAGGAAACAGCAAAAATAATCATGGCCCATCAGATCAGTATATGATCGTTTAGTGCGTCTTAGAAATCAGGCTTGCAAATCGCCTAGCTTTAGAACAGTTTTTCAAAATCGCTATGAATTTTGAAATAGAATTAAATTACAATTATAAATAAAATTTAGTAAAATATTTCTGTAATTTTATGATAACGATAGGCCGTTTGGAGGCTCTTGCCAGTATTGAAAATATTCCGTTTGTAAAATCGTTTTTACATTGTAACAAACCATGATAATAGATCTAATCCACTGGGAATCATATACCCCGTAAGATGTGCATGGGGTACATCTCCAACTTATCTTTACCAAAATCTTATCATAGATTTTAGTGTTACTATATTGCCAGGAAAACACGGATATTGCTGAATTTCAGTTCACGAGACAGAATTGAATATATACATAAAGAACACGATTTTTAACTTTAACTGGTGTTTATTTTTGATAAACAAATAAAAATATATTCGATTGAACAAACTTGATATAAATACAAGAGATACATGTACATGTCTAGTAGGTACTTTCTGTAATTAAAAGCTGTCCGTTTATTTTTAATCATTTGGTTCTTAAACGGAACTAAATTCAGCTGGCAAATTCTTCATGAAACATTTCGGCAAAGAATTCACATTGATGTGTCAGGATCTGTTTTTAGAGGTGTTGAATAATAAATATACGCTTAAAAATTGGAATGTGACTCCAAAGAAATAATTACACTAACGAGCTGCCTTTTAATATCACTTTAGAAAAAAGATCTATTTTTTTCCAAGAAAACCTTTCATTTTTTTTCTTCTTCAAACATTTAAAAAATGATATTGTGTAAATTTAAATACCTATGTGAGAGTGGCTTGAAATTCGCACATTTGTATGCTTTTAATGTATTAAAATCACATTATTACTATTCAGATATGAAAATAAGTTTTCTAATCTAATGACATCAAATATACACAATCCTTACTTACACATTTTCACCGTTTCAATAGAATTTCTCTATGTATTTTTTTTCTCTCAAAAAATAATCATGCTTCAGAAAAAAGCTTTAAAGACGTGAATTTCACATGATCGATTTTTTAAAGAATGTGAATCTTGGTCTTATTTCTAGTATTTGACCCTGAAAGTGTTTACTAGTTTCATAATTCCGTCTTTGTCGATGTTAAAAAAATGACGAAACTTGGACGACGTCTTTAAGATATTGACGGAAAATGACTGCGATGACGTTTGGCAAGGATGTGTTCATTGATGTTGCTTAATTGACGAAGATTTGTCAATTAATATGAAACACGAAATCCAGTAAAACTTGATAATTTGTTCATGTGGTCTTGTCCAGTGCAACGCGATAGATTAAGAATATCTCCTGCCTTTAAACGATAAACAAGTGATGCTGATCCTGACTGAACTCCATCATTGTTTCCAGAACCACTGTTCACTACTAACACGTAAATGTCGTTGACAAAAAAACCACATACGCTTAATAAACCCGGTTCTCTGATAAGAGTTACTGTGAAGAAGTAGAGTCCTGGATGTCTTACCAAGTGAACACACCTGATGGGGAGACATTCAATAGTCATCGGCCTGAGTTTATATTACCGGGGTTGTGTTTTGAACTTAAGGGGAGAACCGGAGGTGTTGTCTGGGTATGTAACTGCAAATCCGACCGACACGTCTGAAAAATCATATTGAAAATTTTTAACAAGTCATTTTTACACAATTGAATTTTTGTTGTTGTTGTTATTATTGTTTCTTCTTCTTTTTTTACATGTTAAGTTCACCCTTCTGTTCATCCAAATAATGTTCTGGGCCAAACAATAATCAAAATTCTGATAACTCCCTCTTTCCGATTTTTGTTTGAGTGCAAACAGTGCTAGTTTATACCCCATTTATTTTAAATAGAAAAGTGTCCAGAATTTTTTTATTATAATAATTGATGCAACTGATAACTTAAGATAATTAGAGATTATTTAGGTAATTTTTCTGAAGTTAGATATTAATTGAATACATATAAAGGGCAGTTGTAAACAGGCTTGGGCTTTCGTTTTAATATTTACCGTCAAGTTTTGGAAGAAACTTCTGTCTGAAATATGTCCGCGTGGCGTGTTCAAGGTTAAATCATTTTTTTGACTGGAGGTTTGTGAACCAGTTTCTTTTCTGCAGATTCCACTGGATAAAGAGTAAACGTGTTAAAAATGTAATAAAAGATCAATGTAGTGAGCCTGTTCTGGTTCAAAAAGTATTTAATCTAAAGATGTGTGAAGTTGTGGCCTAGCGGCTCAGTGGCCATACGACGTGAAGTTGCCGGCCAAGTGGCCTAGCGCTGTGAAGTTGGCGGTCTAGCGGCCTGACGGCCAAAATTGAATGTTTTTGAAATGTTGTATAAATAAGTAAATGACATTTAATAAATACATATAAAGGGAAGTTTACGTACTTATTTCATTTAATCTGTTCGTCAAATTTTGGAGAACTTCTGTCTGAATATATCCCTGTGCGTGTTCAAGCTTATCCATTTTTTGACTTTGAGTTGTCACCAGTTTCTGCAGATCCGCTGATAAAGAGTAAAAAAAATATCAATATAGTGAGCCTGTTCTGGTTCCAAAAGTATTTAATCTAAAGATGTGTGAAGGCGGTGGCGTAGCAGCTCAGCGGCGAAAAGCGGTGTGCAGTTGGCGGTCCAAGCGGCCTAGCGCTGTGAAGTTTACAGCCTAACGGTCCAGACATATGACGGCCGAAAGTTGAATGATGTAAAAATGTTAAATAAACAAGAAAACGGCATTTAATTGATACATATAAAGAGCAGTGTACTTACTTGTTTCATTTAAGCTGTTCGTATTTTGGATAACTTCTGTCTTAATCTGTCTCTGTTCGTGTTCAATCTTATCAATTTTTTGGGTTAGAGTTGTCACCAGGTTCTGCATATCCGCTGAAAAAAAGGGTAAACTGTTTACAAAAGTAATAAAAAGTAATGTAATTAACCTGTTCTGGTTTCAAAAGTATATAATTTAAGCGTTTTTTTTTTCCATAAAGTCTACATTAGTGATAAATCTCTAGATGAGTTAACAGAAATATCGGAGAAAGCTAGTTGAGAAAATTTCAAAATAATGAATCAATTTATATTTAACTTCGGAACACTTCGCCTATTGTAACTAATTTAAGCTTATCCAGAGACTGACGGACATTGCCGATATGTCTCTATTGTTCGCAGATACAATATTGACCAATCAGGAGTTGGAAAAAGACATCTCGCATGTTTCTTTAAAAAGATGTAAACTTGTTATGCTCATTATTAGTATTATGACGTTCTAGCTACGTCGTTACACTACTTTCCCCGAAAAGTTTTGTGCCGAGAATTGACATGGGAAATAATTTGGTACGGCAACTCCACCGCTACCACCAAATGTATCGGTTTAAGACACACAATCATATGGAGGGCGTTTGTTGCCAATATTCCAGACATGTAAAGTATTTTAAACTTTTAAAAATTACTTTTGAAAATGCGAACTTGTATGCCTACCATTTTTATTGTACCCGTGCATAGCAAATAATATGCCTCTTAATCCAATATTATAATTGAAGGTTCCCGCCTTTATATAACAAGTTTATATATAGATCGGGACAACTGACCTAACATGTAAAACAACAACAAACAATAACAAGTTCGTATCTTCAATTGTATACAATACATTTGCAAGTTCGCACACGTATATATATTTATCTGTACATGGAATATACAAATGAAATGTAAAACTCAAAGACAGAAAATAGAGTTAAAAAATGTGGTTCCAGTTGTAGAACTACAAGAGTACGTTTACACAGTAACATGTTTAAGTGACAAAGTAGATTAACAAAGTTAAACGATTTTAAGTCATGCATGACGCCCCATACAATCCCTTTCTGTTGAAACTCGGCTCACCACCAAGAGTGATTTTCGTCCATATATATTGGAAACGTTCCCTTATGTAATTTTACCAACTTTAGTTTTTACATATTATTATGCTCATTATCAGTATTATGACGTTCTACCAATGTCGTTACAAATGTAGCAAAATGTAGGCAAAGTAATATTTTGACTTCCATACAAAATACTTATTCTACAAATTGTCAATTGAGCAAAAGTTGCAGTCATGAATATGGGAATTAAGATTAAAAAAACTGTGATTAGTTACAAAAAAAGATTTTGTAATAAAAATTGATAGCGTTTCTGAGGCATAGTGGGCCTCTAAGCATTTATATAAAACATATAATGTATGAATATGACAGCAGGAATGTTTAAACAATTTCGACATGATGATGATGATGATGGTCATGATGATGATGATGAAAATGACGATGATTGACCTATGTTAAAATGTACAATGTTAATATTGCTCAAATAAAAGTTTGTAATATATGTTAAAAGAAAGCATGTGCCAAAATATATATTTCATACTTTTAAATCATCAGAAGTATGAGGCGCTTTATCTGTTTTAAAATAGAGCATCGTGATATATGCGCCCCCCCCCTTTTTTTTGGAGCTATATCCCTTGCAATTCAGGCCAGGTGCCGAAGAATAAAGCTCTCTGGTTGACACTTATATTTGGCGTTACATAGCTTATGTAATTACATTTCTTGACCTTTTATATTGATTCAATGCCAATGTTTCACATGTAATTATCAATTTGTTTATCATTCTCACACAATAAATAATCATTTTTTACATTTAGAAAACACTGTATAAGGCGACCAGAGCATTCGATGTTTTGACATTGAACTATTTCTGTACCATTACTGTTACAGTCAGAGCCATTATCTTTCGGCGAAACGCTTTTGCATGTTCGAATCCTCCATTTGAATCCTTGTCCACATTTGGTGTTACAAGGCGACCAAACTGACTAGTTTGTCCAAATACCAGTTACCGTTGCCCCTTCAAAAGTTAAATCCATCACTTTTGCCGACGGAACATATACATGTATGTTGTTCTTAAAAACAAATTAACTGTCTTTCGAGGGGACCTCCTTGTTTGAGTGGTTAGGATTGTCGACTTCAAATCACTTGCCCTGTACTGCTGCTCATTTCATGAATTAGTTTTTGTAAATGCGGTTTTAATTATATGCTGACCTTTCTAACCAATTAACATTAATGAAAAACAATAAATCAGCCAAAGAAATCAGAGTCAGTTGATAAATTATATTTATAGCTGTCTCAGCAAAAACATTATTCTGAGTTTCAAGAAACGATACAATAACAGCTTTCGGTCATTTCCGTCAACATCCGGTAAATATGAGTAAAGTTATAATATTGGGGTCCAAATTTTAAACAATATAACACAAAAGAAAAAACAATAAGTTCGTACTATATTAACCTGGTGTTTCTTATTATTAAGCCATAAACAAACAAAAAATAAAGATTATATTCTAATATGTTTAATATAGCTGTTATCATCCAACAGACTTGCAGCAAGTTCGATAAAGAAAATCTTTAGTACTGACCTTTACTATTTGAAGCCTTTGAAACGTTTATACTCATGTATAAAGAAACAGATACTGCGATAATCAACAGTCCAATTAAAATTGAATTTACGAGGGTACACCTAGTACACTTCTTGGCTGAAGGAGTAGTTTTATCTGCAAGCTCCCCTGTACCATGTTGAAGAGTTTCGTAAAGTCTGTTTTGTTCAGTCCTATTATCTCCCGACGCAAGCTCAGTATAAATTTCTTTTGCTGTGTCTGAATCCTCGTAATGAGTATTTATCTCCATAACTACATCCAAATTATCAAAATATTCCCGGTTTTTATTAAAATTAAATCATATTAAATTTATTCAATCAGTAATCTATACAGGATACAGACATTAAAGTTTATATGGTTGAATTACTCAGATGATTGAAAATTGTTATTCATAATTCTTCTTGGAACTTTGTATCGATTTTAAGTAGAAATTGTTGTTTCCCATTGTGTTATTCTTTGAACACTTGATACAATTTAATATGTCATTAAAGCATACTTAGGTGGTTTGTGTGCTTTTGAACTTCCTAGTGGAAGTTAAATAATTGTTAAACGATATAATTTACTTTTATCAAGTAATAGTTCGTAAATGCTAGTCACGGAAATTAAACACGACTTGAAGAGAAATGTCAATTGAGACACTTGACTTTGCTTTGTTAACTATCAAAGGTGGTAGTCGCATTGGTTTGACATAAAATACGTTTAATCTTGATATTCATGTAATATAATATTATTATATTATTAAATTTAAATTGATTTTTTTATATTTTTGTTATATTGTTACAACAATATAACAAAAATTATAAAAAATGTCTATTTTTATTTTCTTTAATATATGGATATAATATTATATAATGATTAACAAGATTGAAAAATCAATGCAACTACCACCTTTGTTTACTACGTCATACATACTTAAAATCATTCAAAGTAGAAAATCGTTTTTACTTAAGTTCAAGACCGCACCTAACAGTAACGGACGTTAAGAATAACAGTAACGGACGTTAATTAACAATGGTAGGATACTACGTCATGGCTATAGTACTTGAGATAATTGTTAAAAAAAAAGTTTATAGATTTATTGCCTGCTTTAGGCCTGAAAACGGGATAAGTGTTTTTTCTCTGTATGTCCCCACTCGGACTATTCCCGGAACATATAAGAAAAAAGTTTAGAAACTTCTTGAAAGTTATTTTTAACTCACCGGAACATAAACCGAGTCATGGTACAGATTTTTCTAGATTAGTTTCAAATATTTCCATTCAAAAATAAGTTTTATAAAGTTTTTTTAATATATATATATATATATATATATATATATATATATATATATATATATATATATATATATATATATATATATATATATATATATATATATATATATATATATATATATATATATATATATATATATATATATATATATATATATATACAAAATTATTGCCAACAACAAAGCTAGGACTGTAAGACTTTAAATGGAGAGGTTGGATCTCAAGAATAAAGTTTTGTTGAGATGTTAAATGAAATGGTGGTGTTTTATAAAGAAATTATTATACATTGTTTAGAACTATACTGGTTTAAGATTATGTTGGACTCGCACACACATTAGAGGCCTGCATTTATTTAATAATTCCTGAATTTAATATATTTTTAATAATTTAAAACGCAATGACTTGCGTATTTGTTAAACTCGTGATTTGAGATTTTAAAACATCACAATGGTACGTTGATGAACATAAAGAAGTCAATATCTATCAGTTAATTTTAATAGTTTATTAAAGAACAACTAGTAAATCATTTTTGTCATGAACTGGTTACTCGTAAAAAGTCAATGTTCTGGCATACCATGGCACATAAAGCATGTATCATTATTATTGACAACTTTGACAATTTTAAGTCTGAAAGTCATCATATGTTCATATATTTTCTTACCTAAAATAACAAAGTGAAATAAATCAGAAAACAAAGATCATAGTTATTTCTTTATCGCAGTCTTTTCCATAGAGCCTAGACATAATAAATCATGACAATAATAACACTTCCATAATAAACAAAGAAAATAAACAACAAAGAAGCATTAAGTGAACACTTCTTGTCCCTATGGTCTGCTATTCACCTCTATTAAACATGTTCAGTTTATATCTCAAATACCTTTAGAAGTATGGTCCTTGCAAACAATTCATAATGAAATAAAATAAGCAATAACTCCAAAACTGGAGGGTTACCATTCTTGTTTGCAGTATTTTACTTTACTGTAATCTTTCCTTCAGTGAAGTTTCAAATAAATCGATCCTTTATGACATATTGTCCAAAAATTAAGGCAAAAACTGAACAAAAGACAATTACTTCAAATAGCTATTATTCTTGTGATTTCTTGAGTTTTCCTCCTCACTGAGATATATCCACAGCTGGTATCTAAAATATTTGTTCCACCCATGCCGTGCCAAGATGTCCCCGCCATGTGCTTCCTTATGTCGCAATGTGGTTTATACATTTTCCCATACTAGTCGCAAACACAAATAATTTCTACAAAACAAAACGTAATTATATTTTTAAAATTTATAATCAATTTTTTTCTTATTTCAGCGACTCGATTTAACGAGGAAATCTTTCAACAGAACTTACTTTTTCTTATTCATAGGCCGATAACTGATCCTCTATGAAAACATATTTGCGAGATTGTTATGGTAAAATATGTCACACCTTTAGTTATTTAAATATTAGTATCGTATTTCAAAGATGCTGTTTCATTGAATTCTCACTGATAATATGAATATATGAACATGAATTTAAAGATATATTAAAAAATTAATAATATATCTGAACACAGCAATGTGCTTTCAAAAAATCTGTAGATATTTAGGTCCGAATGGGAGAATCTCTGAAATCGAGTCCGAGTGGGAGCATTTTCCATTTTTATAGGGAGAATTAAGAAAAACTGACTTTTGAATAGAAATATTTGAAACCAATCTAGAAAAATGTGTAAAAATGACTCGGTTTCTGTTCCGGTACGTTAAAAATAATTTTCATTTAGGTTTTCAACCTTATTTCTTATATGTTTCTGGACAATTCCGAGTGGGAGCATTCAGAAAAACACTTATCCCGTTTTCAGGCCTAAACCAGACAATAAAACTATAAACTTATCTTACAATTACATTGTATCTCAAATACTGTAGCCATTCTTCGGTCTGCTACATGATGTTTTGATACTCTTACGTTTTCTTATTATAAAATTGTATTTTACCTGCGAGTCGACGGATTTTCTGCAGAAAATGGTCCGAGTGGGAGCATTCAGCAGGTGCGCGATGACGTGGTATCCTACCATTGATTAATACTGTTTTGCAACACAAACTTATCTATTACTTGATATTACTTGGGATACTTTATTGAAGTTTTATTCCAAAAGAAATGAAGGAAAGGAAAAGAAAATCTGATACATTAAGAAATGATATTGTTTATTTACCAGACTGAAATGAGTGACTGTTACTGGCGACAGGTAAAAAGGGGTCAAGTTTTCATCACTTCTATGAATAATAGCTGCCGTTTCTTATTTTAGCATGTTTTATTGATCTTAATTCTGGACACAACTCTTCTACAGGCAAAACTTGTTTAGCTATAATTTGTTTATACTATAAAATTGCTGGGACATCAAAAAATTTGAAAAACAGCATAAATTTCTGCATTACCAAAATAATGAAATAAAACGCTATTATGATTATTATATTATTGCTGTAATAGGCACCACCTGCAAATCCGTCGGAATTAAAACTATCAAACATTTAATGTTATATTTCTTTTTCTGACTGCTTACACAATTTCAAAGTTTCAACAAGTAAGTGAAGAAGTTGTACAAAACCTTTACCTGCCCTGAAAGCAGACTCTACATTCAAAAGAAGCAGTTTCAATGGAAACATTACAAAGAAGTGTGTCTTTTAGGCCAGTTTGAATGGTGACTATGAAATGGTAAGCGTGATGGCTTAACTAGTCACAGAGTTAATTTTATCAAGAAAACAACAGTGGACGCTTTCTAAAAGTCTGACGATGCACATTGTTTTTGTATGTGACTTAATCTTATGTAGTGAAACATGTGTCAAGCCTGTTGTAATATTAGCAATAAGCAGATAACATATAGTAACATGGTGAATCACCATAGACGTATATTGTCAGTCTTTAGCTTGATATCTTCGAAAGGCTGACAAAAATTGTTCGATTATCTTCAGATATAGCATCAATGTTTCATATCTTAAAATACCTTGACTTTTGAACTGTTTTCGTCCAGGTAACATGCTCCAGAATGAATCATTCTATAAATTGTATCAATTCAAGTCTTTTCATGAACTCTGCATGGCTTTAGATAAAGTGTAAAAATAAAGTTGTGTTTTTAGCTGCAAATCACAATATTTTGCAGTTCTTATTTGGCACAAGTTTGACATTATATAAATTTTGTCAAAAAGCGGGATACGAATTGTTGCAAGGAAAGGGAAACAATGCGCGAGAAAAATAACCTTTTCACACTTGCAGAGTTCCCGCCCCGCAAATACATTTCTGATAATTATGCACAATGATATTGTTATCTACATATAATTATTAGAAACATATCTTATTCTAATGTGATTGACATTCGTCATGTAAGAAATCACATGTCTCACTTTTGCATTATATGATGTAAATCGACTATAATTTTGTTGTTACATTGTTAATGTCGAATAAATGTTTTTTATGTTTATGTTTATGTTATGTTATGTTATGTTATGTTTATGTTTATGTTATGTATGCTATGCTATGCTATGCTAATGCTATGCTATGCTAACGCTACGCTTACACTATGCTATGCTATGCTATGCTATGAGATATATATATATATATATATATATATATATATATATATATATATAATATATATATATATATATATATATATATATATATATATATATATATATATATTAACAAATATAAAACACATCTGGGTATTTATTTTTTTTTTCCTGTACCATTTCTCTTGCTTAAACAAATAAAATTAATAGGCTTAAACTTTAAGGAAATTATGTTTAGGTAAATATATAGGATCTTTAAAAAGATAAATACCTTATGAAAATATGATTGCAAATAAAGTAAAATGTAATAGAAATAGAAACATCATTTTACCTCACAAGAAACAATATGAGGTATGATGATACTGTCAAGGACTGACACGGTAGGTTCAAAAATACAGGCACAAAAATTATATAAAAGGTTCATGACCGAAAAGGGAAAAATAAAATTTCAATTGTTTTAAAAAAATTAAACAACTCGAGTAAATATAAATGATTGTTAGATACCTAAAT